TGAAATAATTTAATGAATGCTTTAGAATTATTTAGTTAAGTATTTAGAATGATTGATTGGTTATATGATTTTTATAAAATAGACGAAATAATTTTTGGAATTATATCATTTTATGCAGTTGCAAAATTTAATAATTCAATTGATACTATAAATTTATTTGTTATAAATTGTATTTAAATTCTTTAAGCACTTTTACATTTTTGGAATTTGCAAATGAAATATCAATTTTTCAGCTCAAATGAGTTTAAAAAAACATTGATTTTGGATGTTGCAAAAGAATAAAGGGAATTATTTAATTTAGGTGGATTAAAATTGATGACTATAGTAATATATTCATTAAAAAGGATTAAAAAATACTAAAAATTTCAACACAATAACTTAAAGTATAAGAACTATTTGTCTCTTAAGAAGTAAAGTTAATTCTAATCATAAAAATTCCTTATTTTGGATTTGTTATCTCTACATCATGTGTTTAATAATTTTGATATGAAAATTACAATATCTTCTTTGTATCTATCATATCTATTTTCTCATCTCATTCAACAGTATAAATATAACTAAATAATACTCATAATTGTGATTGAAATATCAATTAATTAGATTCCTAATTAATTCTATGGATCCTATATTTTTAAAGAATTGTGGAATTATTAAATTATATAGTAAAAATAATAAAAAGTTAGATTTAGTTTATATTTTAATAATTAAATACTATTTTTATTTATCAAAAATTGTCAGGATTGCAGAAGGGGATAATAATTTTATTTTTTTAATAAAAAAAATTGAAATTTGTTAATTTACTCATTATTTGATATTCCATTATACATAAATTTTACAATATAATCTTTTTAAATCAATCGAAATTTTTTTCAGACCTTCGAAATATACTTTGTTCAGAAAACCATTGTTTAAAATTCGATAAGAAAGGAAAATATTGAAATTCTTTATCTCTTTATTATTCCTTACAATCCTAATAATTGAGCCTTTTTTCTTTTTCAATTTATTAAAAGGCCTTCTAATTTGTATAATTTTTAATTATAATTATTCATATTTCAAATTTATATTTGGAAATTTTATTATAATGTACAAAAAATTAAAAATTAGGCAAAAGTCATTAAACAATGAATAAAAAATAAAAGATAGATAAATATGATCTTAATCATTAATGCAGAGAAGGAAGCAATTAGAATTACAATTAGTACAATTTATGAAAATTTATAAATTTAACAATTAAGAATTAACAAATATGAGTTTAAAAATTAATTAAAAAGAAATGAACACGATAATTTATATCTTAAGATAGAGAGTAATTTGGTTGATTGTTTAAATTTTAATAACATTCCTTTAATTAAAAAGAGTTTTTAATGCAAAAAATTTGTCAGATTATCTTAATAAAAGCAGTTTATATTGAATAAATATTTTAAAATTTAAAATTATATAAAAATATTAGCGTTTTGTATTTATAAGTTTTATCCTTTATTATAAAATGGATTAATCATTTTTTTTATAATAATCAACTTCAGCTACCGAATATCCTTATAATTGGTTAAAAAAATATTTTCTTTCCTCCTCTTCAATAAGTAATTATGATATATTTTCAAGATTTGTTAAGATAAATCTATGAACAAATTGGAAGCCAAAATGGCACAAAACATACCAATATGAATCCAACCAATAAATTATCTTAACTAAATTCAAAACTATATAGTAAAAAAGAGGCTGAAATGAGCATAAATAAAAATTCTCTGCATATTATTTTCAAATTTTCATATGTAGATTTCGTAGGCTTAAATTTAATAAAGTATATCAAAAAGAATGATGATTGCATTGAAAAGAAAATCGATTAAGCTTCTGGATAATTGATTAATTTTACAATAATCAATATATAAAATATTATTTTGTAAATTTATAAGGTTTTAAATTAAACTGCCCAAAATGTAAGTTTAGATTCATAATAAAAATATTTCCATTTCTTTTCATTTTTTATTTAAGAAGTAGTTATTGTAAATAATGGATAAATTAGTTTGAATATATAAATTAATCCAAAAATAGCATTAATA